TGTATATCTATACGATATACTAATATTTAGCACATCTTTGCAAGAACACATTCAAGCAATTACCGAAATTTTCCAAATCTTCGAAGAAAAAAATTTAACAAGTAAGAACGTTGCAGTCGGGCGTTACCGACTGCGAAATACTCATTCACATCCCATCAACAATTTAGTAGGTAAGTTTCGCTCTAATACTGTAAAAAATACACTTTTTTCCGATTTGCCACGCCCCTACTGGCCGTAGACACCTCATTTTTGGTCAGTTCTTAGAACGTGATAACGGTACCCTAACTGCAAAGTTTGAATGTTTACCCTCAAAAAAAGTGAAAATTACAGGGTATTTTTCGATATGCCACGACCCTAAAGAGTCATAAAAATTCAACTATCCAAATTTGAAGCTTCTATTATACTTTAGGTTTGCCACGCTTTCTGTGGGCGGACATATATCCGACAAAGCTTTTTGGTCTTGGGTGATCAGATCGAGTATATATACAAAATTTGAGATCTCAATAGTATCCAAAATATAGCAGAATTCGAAAAATCACTTCAGGTCCGATTTGCCACGCCCCTAATGGGTGTAGGCTTATAATTTTGTCATAAGACTTTATAGAATCATAACATTAGCTGTCGTGCAAAATTTCAGCGCCTTAGCTGTAAAACTCTTAGATATACATTTTCATCCGATTTGCCACGCCCCTAGTGGGCGGATCGGGAAAATTTTAACACTTTATAAATCGGAGATATACACGAGTATGTGTTCCAAATTTCAAGTCTCTAGGTTCAATAGCGTCGAAATAGATTACGTTCATACGGACAGACGGACGGACAGCAAGACGGACATTGCACAAAACCAATATACTGATTCACTTTCGTGAATGAGTATAAAAATCCAGATAGATGCAATTTTATGAAAAGAGAAACAGAATTTTTAGGACACATTCTGACAAAGGAAGGTATTAAACCAAATCCAAATAAAATAGCTATTATAAACAAGTAAGAAAGCTCTAGTCGAGACTGCTCGACTACGAGATCCCCTGAACCTTGGAGCAATAGATATTTCAATACTTTTTCGCGACTTTCAGCTTACACAAGAAACACGCACACACACACACACACACGCACGTACGCACACACAGGCATACATACACACACACGCATACAGACACACATACACACACACACGCATACATACACAAACGCATACACACACACATATACACACACACATACACACACAAGCAACCACGCATAAACACGCATGGGCGGCAGTGAGCGCTTACTATGAGAACTTAATTGCTTAATAACTTTTTGTGGACGTACGATCTTCATGAAACTTTCAGATTATGATTATGACATGGATATGCATGTAATTGCCAAAGCACAAGTCTCTAGTATTTGAAATAAGCTTTTTACAAAAGTGAGGGTGAGGGGGTGAATTTAAGGGTGGGGGGTAAATTTTAACAAAAACCGAAATTGTATAAATTGCATATAGGCATACCTAAAAAATTTTGAGACTCTAGCAATAAAGGTGTAGAAGATATAATTTTATAACTGGTTTTCGATAAGGTTTTTTATCGATAAAAAAAGATTGGGATGAGTTATCGATTTTTAATGATAAACTTGATATGCGCGCTGTAATTACGAACATTTAAAAAAAATTTGAAGTCTCTAGCTCTTATATCTTCTGAAATCGACGCGTTCATACATACGGACAGACGGACAGACGGACAGACGGACAGACAGACGGACAGGGCCAAATCAACTCAGCTCGTCGCCCTGATTAAGAATATATATACTTTGTGGGGTCTGCCACGCCTCCTTCTGCCTGTTACATACATTTCAACAAAACCATTATACCCTGATTTCCCATTGAAAATGGGTTCAGGGTATAAAAATTAGCATTACCTCGAACAGAAAAGCAGATAAATAGTTTTCTAGGTATAACGGGCTATTACAGAAAATTCATTAAGGACTATGCTAAAGTAGCACAACCAATAACAAAATACCTTAAGAAAGATGCGAAAATTAATACAAAAGACCCCACTTATGTAGAAGCATTTGAAAAACTGAAACATATTATCAGTTCACATCCCATACATAGATTCCCCAACTTTGATAAAGCTTTTACACTAACAACTGACGCATCGAATTATGCAATAGGGGCAGTGTTATCCCAAGAGGGTCATCCAGTTTTTTTTGTATCCAGAACCCTTAATAATCATTAAAAGAATTATTCGGCAACCGATAAAGAGATTTTAGCAATTCTATAGAGCGTTAATTACTTTAGACCCTACTTTTATGGAAGAAAATTTAAGATACTGACCGACCATCAACCTATAAAATTTTTACACTCAAAGCATAAGGGAAAAGACATTTCGCCTATACATCAAAGATGGTTATTAAAACTAGGAGAGTACCAATTTGAGATTGATTATCTAAAAGGAAAAGAAAACAAATTAGCAGATTTTTTGACTAGACTCCAAGACAACGACTATACAGATAAAGGATAAGATAACATACAAAACAAAAACAACGACAATATATCAGATATAAATATAATAGCAAACATAGAAGATGAAGAAGATAACACGTCATTGGCAACAGTACATTCGGCGGAAGAAAATGTACACACTCATTTTTTTATAAAGGAAGAAATAGTCAATAAATACAAAACACGGATAATTACAAATTGTAAAACAGAGAAAACGAAAATAATACATGGCAAAAGAATCATTTTCATAGCTAAATATGACTTCCCAACAATGGGTGAAATTTTCAAGAAATATATAGGCAAAGGAAAAATTGGCATTTACTCAGAACTACCGTACCATGACTACAACATAGTACAAGAAAAATTAATAGAAATGTTTTCAAACGACGAGCAAATAGAATTCATAAGATGCACACTTAGGGCTCAGGACATTGAATACGAGTCAGAAGCAGTTAAACAAATATCGCTCTACCACGTAAGAGAAAGCATGCATTCAGGTATTCAGGAGACTTACAATCAATTAAAAAACAGAATTTACTATCCAAAATTATTAGAATTAGTGCAAAGGTGGTTAACCAATGTGACTTATGCAAAGAAGTTAAATATGATAGGAAACCCATAAAAAAAAAAAAACAAATTCATGAAAACAGAAACCCCATCTGATAAGAATCAAGTTGTCCACATTGACACATATGTAATAAGAAATACACATTTTTTAACAACAGTAGACAAGTTTTCCAAGTTCGCAGCAGCATACTCATTAAGTGACAGAAATAATTTGACATTAGTAGAACAACTGGAAGAACATTTCACATAAATAGTAAAGCCTAACAAAATCATAGCAGATAATGAGTTTAATTCATTCAGAATCAAAGAATTATTAATTCAAGAAGGAATAGAATTACATCTATTTTAAACCAAACAGTCACACAGGAAATTCAGACATAGAAAGACTACATAATTCACTAGCTGAAAAATTTAGGGTAGCTTTTAAAACAGAAAGATCAAGTAAGACAATAAATCAAATAATGCAGCAAGCTATTAGAAACTATAATGACAGATACCACTCAACAATTAAATGCACCCCTAGCGAAGCCCAAAACAGTAAGGTAGACCCGAAGAAAATCAAAGAAAATATATAATAATAATATATTTTAACAAAAACCGAAATTGCATAAATTGCATATTAGCATACATAAAAAATTTGGAGACTCTAGCAATAAAGGTGTAGCATATAATTTTATAGCTGGTTTTCGATAAGGTTTTTTATCGATCGGGATGAGTTATCGATTTTTAATGATAAACTTTATATGCGCGCTGTAATTACGGACATTTAAAAAAAAAATTGAAGTCTCTAGCTCTTATATCTTCTGAAATCGACGACAGGGCTATATCGACTCAGCCTTATCAAGAATATATATACTTTATTTGGTCTGCCACGCCTCCTTCTGCCTGTTACATACATTTAGCAAATCCATTATACCCTGATTTCCAATTTTCAATGGGTTCAGGGTATACAAAAATAAGGCTTCTGGCTTTATTTTTAGATTTTATGCCGCCAAAATCGACAAATCGCCCATAGTGCATTGCACAAAACCGCCCATTGGGGGCGTGGCAAATCGGATAAAACTGTATCTCCTAGAGTTTTAAAAATAAAATTTCGCACGTAGGCTAATGTTATGATTCTATAAAGTCTAATATCAAAATTATATGTCTAAGCCCATTAGGGGCGTGGCAAATCAGAGCTGAAGATAGTGTTTTTTTAAATTCTGCTATATTAATGCTAGAGGCCTCAAATTTGGTATATATACTCGGGCTGACCACCCAAGACCAAAAAGCTTCGACGGATATATGTCCGCCTACATAAGGCGTGGCAAACTACAAAAGTTTATGTCTCCTAACGTATAATAGCTAGAAGCTCCCAATTTCGGTAAAAATTCCCTGTAGTTGCAGTTAGGGTACCGTTAGCTCGTTCTAAAAACTGACCAAAAATTAGGTGTCTACGCCCAGTAGGGGCGTTACAAATCTGGAAACCCCGCATTTTCTACAGTATTAGAGCTAAACTTAGCTGCTAAATTACTGATGGGATGTGAATGACTATTCTGCAGTCGGTAACGCCCGACTGAAACGTTCTTACTAGTTAAGAATATGCTTGAATAAGTTTGAATATATATGTGCACCCGTATAAGAAAACTGTTGCATCCAAAATAGAACAAAAATAAAAATTGTATAAATTTCATTTGAATCTACATGTAAAATTTGGAGATTTTCGATAAAGTATTTAATCGATCAAAAAAACGTACATTTAAAAAAAAAGTTGAGTCCCAAGCTCTCACGATCTGAAAGTTTCATGTCCATGAAGTTATGAAACAAATAATAAACCATAATAAGCCCACACTGCAGTCCACGCGTGTGTATTCAATATCAGTGTGTGTTTATTGAAATATAAGTTCGTCGAATGGGTCCAGGGGATCTCTTAGGTGAGCAGTCTCGACTAGTGCTTCTTACTTATTTATATTGCTATTAGTAGCTTCCAGTATATGTATCTATGCAGTTCCGAATTTTCTTTTCGCTGCGCTGGAATAAAATTTTCAACGGTTACGAAATAGTTAAAAATAAATATGGTACTTAGGCGCGCATGATTTTTCTTTTTTATTTTGTCTGGCAATTTTCTTTTCCCACGATCAAAAATAAACAGGCTTTGTTCGGCAGACTGAGACATTTGTACAGACATATGTATGTACATAGGTGTAGGTTTACAGACATATGTATGTACATACATACATACATATTACAACTTTAAATTAACAATATCAGAAACTTTCATATTGTATTCATATCTAGTTCACATTTCACATATTTTTTAGATTAATTTTTGCTTCCTATTACATAGATGAAATCAACCACTTCAATAACTTAGGTATCCAGAGTATCCGGTTTAATGTCAATGCACTGATTTACGCTTTCTCGAAACGGAAATGGAACTTTCAATAACAATTTTAAAAGGAAGTATAAATATTTTGCTTTTATTTTTACCAATGAACGAAACTTAAAAATATATGTATATTCATATGTCTATATATGAATATATATATGTATAAATTTTATATATTTTCTTAATTTGTAACAAAAAATAGAGCTGACCAGCCACTTCCACGAATTTCACGAAACTGAAATATACAATTTAAACATTAGCTGCTATAGTAGCCGATTATGTCGTCGCTTGTGGAGACTGGCGTAGATGGCGAGGATGATGATGAGTTTACTTGAGGTGATGCCTGAGATGCTGATAACTTTTGCTCTTGGTTATGTGCGACAAGTTTGTCTGTTTGTGGAATCGAGTTTTTCTGGTAACTATGAACATATGTACATGTACATATGTATGTATGTATGTACATGTATGCCTGTATCTGCCACATGACGTAGCCTGTTGTGCATAAGTTACTCTCTCGTTGATCAATATGCCGTGGTGCATGCCAACATGACATACATACATATGTATGTATGTACATGCGTCCGCTTCCATTTATGTACGTAAATAGCAAGTAAGAAAGCTCTAGTTGAGACTGCTCGACTACGAAATCCTCTGAACCCTTCTAAGAATTGATATTTCAATAATTTTTCGTGGGCTTACTATGGGAACTTAATTTTTTAATAACTTTTCTTGTCGATGGAAACTTTTAGATCATGATCATAACATTGAAATGCGTGCATGCGCTGGAGAAGAAGTCTTTGAAATACGCTTTTTGTACCCTGTACCCATTGAAAATGGGAAATCAGGGTATAATGGTTTTGTATGTAACAGGCAGAAGGAGGCGTGACAGACCCCATAGAGTATATATATCCTTGATCAGATATCTCAGAAGATATAAGAGCTATAAATTTATTATTGGTTTTCGATAATGTTTTAATCGATAACAAAATAACTGGACAAGTTATCGATATTTAAAGCAAAACTCGATATGCGCGTGCTATACACGGACCTAGGAAAAAAATTTTCAAGTCTCTAGCTCTTATATCTTCTGAGACGCGTTTAAAAATACGGACAGACGGACAGAAAGAAAGACAGTACATTTGCCAAAGCACAAGTCCCTAGTATTTGAAATACATCCTTTAAAAATGTGATGGTGAGGGGGTGAATTAGAGATGGGGGGAAAGCTTTGACAAAAGCCGAAATTGTATAAAACGCATATATGTAAGTATACATATAGCCACCAACCAGAGAACACCGACTAGACATGTAGAACAAAATTTTCTACAGCAGAAAATGTTAAGTTGGTCGACCACTATACTTCGTATTTGCTCGGCTCGGTCGCTGGAGGTTCGAGCAGTGAAAATATTGCACGACAAAGTCAGTGCGCTGCAAACGCTCAAACGAAATGGTCCCATTCTTATATGAAGTACAGCTATACGCTATTTGTCCTACTTTCTCTCTCTCTATGGCCTCTCAAATCATTTAACTCAGCAGCGCAAAAAAATTGAAATTTGTTGCAAACAAAATGTAGCGTTTCGATGGATATTCGTGGGAAGAGTATGAAATTGTTGATGTGCATAAATAATATGATTTCGCGACGGGCAAGCACACACACACTTGCAGTCTCTGGAAACATGTGTGAGTATTTGTGGCATGTGCAAATTGTAAAGCCGAAAATTACATACTCAAAGTACATGTAGCAAGGGACATTGTGTGTGTGTGCATGCTCATCGCGAAAACATATTATTTATGCACATTATGCGCACCAACGCTTTCATATCCTTCCCCAAATAATAACGAAAACGCAAACATTTCGCATGAGCATGTCAACCGATTTGAAGAGTTAGGTATACTCTTCACACAGAAGAGAAGAAACGGGAATCTAACGCGAAGAAATTTCAATTTTCGTGAGCTGTTGCTTGTGCTCACATGCATACTAGCATGGATGCATTCAAAAGGGCTATTAAATCATTCATTTTTAAATGAGCACACTTTTTTTCCTGTACAGCATTAAATGAGTACTAGTCAGTGCTGTCATAATTTTTCGAGCAAATAGAGCCAGATTGGCAAAAAAAAAAAGAAGCTAAAAGAAGCTAAATTCCAGAAAAAATAAGCCAAACTAAAAGCTGGGTTTAAAAAACACTATTTTCTTTATTAAATTCATTTATGACTATCCATTTGTTTTTAATTGTTTGATTCCTTCAACTATAGACAAGGAATCTGCACTTTCAAGAGAAATGTTAAAATCAGGAACGTCGAAATCATCACTCCACTCTCAACAGAGATATTTAATAACGACACCTAAACACCATTAACGTAAAAATTATAGATATACATGCATATACATATATACAAATTATAAAATATTCAATCTTTTAAAGAGTGGTCAGGTGTTTAATAAATAATTGTTATTTACCGAGCCGCTTTGTCACTTGATTTGTCCAAAGCCAAAATAAATTTAACGCTTCCAATCTTATTTCTAAGATCCTCAAGAAAATGAGGAGCCAACGCATGTTTAATTATGTTGTACATTTAGTACGGCGTAGTCTAAATCGCTAAACGCTCATGCTGTCGCATAATTTTGTTTGGCAGAGAATACCTAGGTTGTTGATGGGAGCAATTAATGTGTGATTTGCCACATAGTGCTCTTGCACAAAGTGCTATGTCTTGCTCTGTAGTGTCTGTTGGAGTTTGCCCAAAATCAATTTTTACTTTCGTGCACATTTGTGTTTTTTTTTTTTTGACAAACGAGACCTGTTGCTCATACCACGAAATGATTTCGATAGATTGTATGATATACTTGTATTCATGATTTTGTGTTGACAGAGATATAAACAAAATAAATCAAAATAAATAAATGAAAATTAAATAAAGCTAAAATAGAGCTAATTTAATTTTTTTATAGCCGGAATTCCCGCATCCCGCCGTTTTCGAATTTTTCCCACAATGGGACTTCAAATATAGCCGGATCTGACGGGGAAAAAAGCTAAAATGACAGCCTTGGTTAGTAAAAGTTGTACAGCACTGTATATGAACAGTTTATGTTATCACTTAACTTCATGCTGTACAGTACTAAATGAGTACAGTAAAAAATATTGTACAGTGCTTTCACTGTACACTGCTTTGGTGTGTAGTAGGGCTGCAAATCCATCGATGGAGTCTATCGATAGTATCGATGGATTTGAACTCTCAAGATATATCGATGGATTTTTTCATCCATCGATAATTTACTACTTGGATGCGCGAAGAAACACATGTAAGTATTTTCTAATATTTTATTTTGTGATTAGCTTTTTTAACAATATTTTAATGAAATAATTTCGCAACGACGAGCTGCTCTTAAGGCCAAAAATGTAAATATTCTGTTGTTTATCAACAAAAACCAATGGTTGCTGGAGAACTAGATTTATTTTTTATAAAATTAGTATAGAGTTAAAACCACCTTGAGAAATTTTTTTTTTTTTTTTTTTAATAAAATAATTTAATTTTTATAGTTTTATAATTTTATATCAGAGGCATCTCAAAATGAAATCATGTACCTTTTATATATATATATATATTTTTCTTTAATTTTTAAGACGAAACTGCTTTAAATCACTAACCAGAGAACACATAGACTAGACATCTAGAACAAATTTTTTCACCGGCGAAAAAATGCGCTGAGGAGACTACACAACTTCGTATTTGCTCGGCTCAGTCTCTTGAGGCTCAAGCATTGAAAATAAGGCAAGACAAAATCAGTGTGCTGCGAGCGCTGCCACGAAATGCACGCATTACCAAATGAAGCACGGCTATGCGCTCTTTTTCCCTTGCTCACTCTCTCCCTCTCTTTATGCTCTCTCTCTATGGTCTCTCGAATGGCAGCAGCGCACAAAAATTGAAAATTGTTCGCGACGATCTGAGCTCGTTCCTTTTGAGTGAAGGGTATACCGAAATTTGTAAAGCGTTCGCCACGTTCATGCAAACAAAATGTAAGCGTTTCGATGGTTATTCGTGGGAAGGGTATGAAAGCGTTGATACGCATAAACAATATGATTTCGCGACGGGCAAGTACACACACACATTGTCAGTCCCTCGCTATCATTTGTGTGCTTGTGTAAGCAACTCTATTCTTGCTACCTGCGGCAGGGTTTGAAAGTATTGATGCCCATGTAAATGTGTGTGTGCATGCTCGTCGCGAAAATGTATTCTTTCTGTGCAGAACAGGCTGTGCAAATTGTAAAGCCCAAAATTTGCCGTTGGTCTGCCTTGTGAAGTGAGCACATGCATACATACATTTGTGTATGTGTATGCTTGTATGGGATGGCAAGCTAATTGTCTCTGGAATTATTATTTTGTAAATTTTGTATGATTTGAATCGTAGGGTGACTATCAAATGGGCCATTATGACTTAATGCAATGATAATGCATAATGAGTAAAGCTTGAGTATAATATGACATGTGTATTTCATATATTGCAAAGCATTTAATAAAGTTAGTAGTGTTTTACGATAATTTTTTCGGTTAAAAATGTGTATAAAATAATTTTAATTATATATAGACACATTTATAAACATGATTAGCAATAATAATATATAAATGTACTTATGTACATATGTATGTATGTATGTATGTTCATACATAGTACATCTGTGTAAAGTGGTTATGACAGTCCATAAGACCGACCAAATGCAAATGCTGGGCTTTAAAATTGCTACAAGCAGCAAGAGTAACGCACGCAGGTCACAAATGCTCATACATGAAGCAAGGGACTACAAGTGTGTGTGTACTTGCCCGTCGCGAAATCATATTGTTTATGCGTATCAACGCTTTCATACCCTTCCCACGAATAACCATCGAAACGCTTACATTTTGTTTGCATGAACGTGGCGAACGCTTTACAAATTTCGGTATACCCTTCACTCAAAAGGAACGAGCTCAGATCGTCGCGAACAATTTTCAATTTTTGTGCGCTGCTGCCATTCGAGAGACCATAGAGAGAGAGCATAAAGAGAGGGAGAGAGTGAGCAAGGGAAAAAGAGCGCATAGCCGTGCTTCATTTGGTAATGCGTGCATTTCGTGGCAGCGCTCGCAGCACACTGATTTTGTCTTGCCTTATTTTCAATGCTTGAGCCTCAAGAGACTGAGCCGAGCAAATACGAAGTTGTGTAGTCTCCTCAGCGCATTTTTTCGCCGGTGAAAAAATTTGTTCTAGATGTCTAGTCTATGTGTTCTCTGGTTAGTGTTTAAATATAACAAGAATAAAAACAGCTTGAAGCATATAAAAAAGAATTTAATTATTTGCATTGATTGACATATTTATCCATATGTAATAAAATATATATTTTATTAGATATACAACCATCTCATAAAGATCCGATTACTTTTGTATTGTATTTTTATACAAAATTGCACGAATCATTTACATACAATGTGCTGGATGTATGATTGAAACTATTGAGAATTTCTGTATTTCTAGGAATTTCAAATTTTCGATGGAACTATCGATAGTATCGATGGTTCATTCCATCGATGGAGAAATCTATCGAGGGGAGCATCTATCGATGGTTTTGCAGCCCTAGTGTGTAGTAAACTTACTGTACACTGTACAGCGAGTTATTATTTTTATTATATTTATTTTTAATGAAGGGGGCATACAAAAATCAGAATCAGATGGCCAATATACACTTAATTATTAAATATTTATTTCAAACAAGTAAGAAGGCTCTAGTCGAGACTGCTCGACTATGAGATACCCTCCAAGCTGATATTCTACTCATTCAGCACTTCCTTTATGAAAATACAAAGACGAAACGAATATTTAATAGAATAACACATTTCTTATGAATGTATCATTAATAGGTCAAATATAATAGTATATTTTGAAAACTTACACTTTCATTTGCATTTATTGCGTTTGCATAATTTTCATTAGCAGCCGTAGCAGAGCAGTTCAAAATATCTTTACAGCTGTTCTCAATCACATTTACTATAATCATATTGAAGTTTGGTGTACAACGTGTGGGAAACAGTGATGTCATTTTTTTCTGAGCAAAAAAAGCTGGATCAAGGAAAAAAAAAAGCTGAAAAAAGCTGGATTCAAGGGAAAAAGGCTGACAAAAAAGCTGATTCTAATTACATATGTATATGAATACCAAACTATAGGTATTTTTATTAAACATCATAAATCATATCCTTGTCAAATAGACAAAGCGCTGCCTCTTGCTCAATTGTCTTTGTGGGCAATTGAACAAAAGATAATTTGTTTTTTTGCACATAGCCCTCCATTGAGCCTGCGTGCTTTTTTGTAGCCACATGCGCTTGCAAGTCACTTAATTTGGCAGTTATTGTGCAATTGCAATAACTGCAATACGCCCGTGTAGCGTCTGTGGGGTCCTTCCTTAGCCAATCCTTGAATTCTGTGGCCCGCAGCCACACATCGGTATGAAATTTTAAGAGAAGGTTAGTCGATTAAAGTAAATATCGATACTTTACGTAAAATATATTATTAACATATAAATCGTTAAAACAGCTGTACAAATTTAGAAAAAATTTACTTTGAAAAAAAGCGGTTTGAATTTGCTAAAAAATCTGGAATTCCCGCTGCCCGCTGTTTTCAAATTTTTCCCGCAATCGCACCTTTAAAAAAGCCAAATCTGACGGCAAAAAAGCGGAAATGACATCACTGGTGGGAAAGAGCCAAAAGTGTACTCAAAAGAATACAGCTTTTACTGGAAGTCACTGTAAATGTGAACAGTATAAAAGTTGTACAGAATTTTTTTTAACAGTTGAATATACTGTATAGCAAGGAATGAGTACAGTATTTTTAAGCAAAATGGAAATGAATACATTCATGCAGACCTCTAATGCATACATGCATATCAGTGTTGCCAAATCAGCTTTTTTTCCCGTCAAATCTGGCTTTTATGAAAAGCCGACTCGGAAAAAATTCCAAAACATCGGGCAGCGGGAATTCTGGATTTTTTAAAAGAATAATTTGCTTATTTCCGCTTATTTATTCATTGAAGAAATTTTCGTATTTTGTATGGATAATTCGTATGAAGCTTGAAGTTTTCTTCATTGTAGTTAAATTAAAACCAAATAGTTCAGTAATTCAATTTTCAATGAACGAACCAAACGGTAATAATATGGAACTAACTAAACTAGGATATATATATATATATATTTAATTCAGATCAACTTATTGTGAACAACAATATCGAACTTTTTGATTCGATGTTAACGAAACAGAAAGATTAAAAAGTGTATGCAACTCTTTTGATAGCGTGTAGTACAAGAACTTATGTGTTTAAGGTTACCGACAAATTTTCAAATAGTGAAAAATGTTGATTCCTTTTCATGCATAAGAACATCTACCCAATTCAGTAGGAAACTACTCAAGACGCTACAAAGTTTTGAGTTGAGAAGCGTGTTCTAAGGGTTTGATAGGATATAAGAAATTTATGAACTTGGCCACTTTTGCATTGCTTTCTTTGTCAATAGAAAACTTCACAGATACGGCTTGCGGTGTTTGAAGAAATGATGCCATGATTATAAGTTGTTAAAAATATATTTAAATATCAATCAAATCAAAGCAAAAAACATCAGCTTTTTTTCCGATTTTTTCACAAAATTTCGGCTTTTTTTTTAAAGTATCTTCCCACTAAGAACAGCTTTTTTTGTTCAACAAAAATTGGCAACACTGATGCATATACATATTTGAGAGAGAGAGAGAGAGCCAGGCAAACAGCCCAGTGGCGACGACCTGAATGAGGTCTGTTGAAATAATGCATTACATACGAGAAAAAAGTAATGCATTACCTATGAACATTTTTTTCAGCGCATTTGTATTGTACAAAATAAAAAGTGCTACTCATACGACAGAATTGAGCTCTTGTCAACTTCGTTTCTGTATGCCCCTTTCCCGCTAACCAACAAACGATTTTCGTCTTTCGTTGCGTCGTGACGAAATCGCCGAATTTCGTTTTGGACATTACCGTTTTTTGCATGGAATGCGTGCCTTCTTTCGTTTGGTTTCTTTGTCTATGCCTATTCCTTTTGTGTGTATAGTGTTAATGAGTGTAAATACAAGTTCAACAAGTAAAAAGGCACTAGTCGAGACTGCTCGACTAGGAGATACCCTGAACCCTCTAAGCTGATATTCTAATCATTCTGCACTTTTATGCACACATACACATGCATACACACGCACGCATAACCCTGCGCTCTGCTAACTGCGCACTAAGCAGCGACTGCGCTTGGGCTGTGTGGGCATATAATAAGAATTAATTTGTTGAATAATTTCTTTTGTAGACATACGATCTTAATGAAACTTTTAGAGCGTAATTATATGGTATGTGTGTACATTCCAAAGCACAAGTCTCTAGTACTTGAAATGTGTTTTTTACAAATTGGGGGCGAAGGCGGCGTGGTATCCAAAATCTGTAAATTACAAAATCTTTATATCCATAAACTTTATATACAACCCAAATTTGAAGACTCCAGGTCCAAAAATGTTCAAATTATGCTGAAAAAAACAAAATCAATTTTTCGATTATTCTCGATAAAAAAAGTTATCGGACGATTTATCGAAAAAATAAAGCAAACTTGTACTGCGTATGGTACTCACAAGTATGCCAAATTTCAGCTCTCTAGCTCTCATAACTTCTGAGATCGACGCACTCATACGGACGGACGGACAGGGCTATATCGACTCAGCTCGTCGCGCTGATCAAGAATATATATACTTTGTGGGGTCTGCCACGCCTCCTTCTGCCCGTTACATACTTTTTCACAAAACCATTATACCCTAATTTCCCATTTTCAATGGGTTCAGGGTAGAAAAATGCATATGTGTGATGATTTCTGTTTTCGTTTTACCCGCCGCGGCGCGTCACTTTTCTGATATTGTTGAGCCGTGCGGACGTAAATTTAAAGGGAAGTATCTGGTATGTATAAATCATCTTACATGTATTTTTAATGACAAAAAAATTAATAATGTTTAATTTACAGATGCTATAAAAACCGAAGGGTCCACTAAGAAGGCCGATATAAATACAAACAGAAACTGCTTTCGGGTCCAGAATGGTCGACTGGCAAAGCAGAAGTTCGATAATAAGGACAAACTAGATAATAAGACATAGCTTTAGATTTAGATGTAGATTGATATAATAAAATAGTAATAAGACATAGACTATATTTATATTTATACCCTGAACCCATTGAAAATGGGAAATCAGGGTATAATGGTTTTGTGAAAAGTATGTAACGGGCAGAAGGAATCATCGCAGACCACATAAAGTATATATATTCTTGATCAGGACGACGAGCTGAGTCGATATAGTCGATATATAATGAAAATTATAATTTAAATAAATAAAAAAAAAAAATAATAATTAAAATAAATTAATAATTAAAATAAAATAATACAAATTAATACCGTTATTATACTGCTATAATAATACAAGACTACACAATATAAATTACTAATTTTTAAATACATAAAGTTGAATAAGAGTAACAAAAATAAATTCAAGTTTGTAAATAATATATTTATCTTACAAATATATATGCTTTTAATGAATTTCTTATGTCTACTCTAAGATTCATTACAGTTAAATATTATTATAACTAACTAAGCTATTTATATAAATAATATATTTAAAAATATTTACTTTTTTGCAAAAAACAAATTTTTTTGTTTAATGTTGAGTTTTATTCAACACTAATATCAATTAAATTAAATAATTCACAGGAAAACCATAAACTTCATTAGCTTCATTATCTATGTACTTAGACAAAATTAAAAAAAAAACAAGTAAGAAGACTCTAGTCGAGACTGCTCGACTAGGAGATACCCTGAACCCTCTAATTTGATATACTAATCACTCTGCACTTCTTTTCGGCATACATACATACACACGCACGTATTAGAACGCGCTCTGCAAACTCCGCAGTAAGCAGCGACTGCGCTTGGGCTGCGCTGCAGTGTGGGGAGCATTATAAGAATTTATTTGTTGAATAATTTAATTTCTAGATGTACAATCTTAACGAAACTTTCAGAGCGTAATCATATGGTGAAAATGTATGTACATTCCAAAGCACACGTCTCTAGTACTTGAAATACGCCTTGTACAAAGGTGAGGGTGAGGGGGTTGATATAGTGGTGGGGGGTAAATTACAACAAAAATCGAAATTATATAAAATATATATAAGTCTACATTTGAAATTTGCAAGCTCTAGCTCTAAAAGTGTAGGAGATATAATTAAATAACTAGCTTTCGATAAGGTTTTTAATCGATAATAAATTATCGGGAGTAGTTATCGATATAAAAAGAAAAACTTGATATGCGCGTGATACACACGGACCTAGGAAAAAAATTTCAAGTCTCTAACTCTTATATCTTCTGAGATCGACGCGTTCATACATACGGACGGACGGACGGACGGACGGACGGACAGACAGACGGACAGGGCCAAATCGACTCAGCTCGTCGCCCTGATCAAGAATATATATACTTTGTGGGGTCTGCCACGCCTCCTTCTGCCTGTTACATACTTTTAACAAAACCATTATACCCTGATTTCCCATTTTCAATGGGTTCAGGGTATAACTAACTAGCAGGTATAAAGGTTATAAGGCGACAAGTTTAATAAAGTAAGGAAATGCACGTAGAGATGGTTGCGTATTTATTCGTAGCTAGTTTAATAATCAATTTGTTAGTTTACTAATCATAACTAACACTAACTGGTAGTTTGAACGAGGGCAAATCCCGTTCGCCAGAAGGTTAAAACTCTGGCAGTAAAATCGCGTGGTCTTGAGTGAGCGCCGGCGGCAACGCTGGGCGTTCCTCGATCCGCGGTCTACCGATCGTAGTAACCCCACTAACATTCCGCAACACGCCTTCGCAGCCCCGACCCCCGCAATCTGGAGTGCGCTTGATCGCGCCACTCGATTGCGGCCGCCCTCCCGCGTGCAAACGCGTGGGCGTGGGCGTGGTCGGCGAGCTCA